GCCAAAATTCCCCAACAATGATGTGAGAGACTGATCAAGTCATACAGACAGCGATTAACATGACAGGAGGCTTCATATTTGCTTAAAGGACCACTATAGTGCCAGGAAAACATACTCGTTTTCCTGGCACTACAGGGAGTGCAGAATTATTAGGCAAATGAGTATTTTGACCACATCATCCTCTTTATGCATGTTGTCTTACTCCAAGCTGTATAGGCTCGAAAGCCTACTACCAATTAAGCATATTAGGTGATGTGCATCTCTGTAATGAGAAGGGGTGTGGTCTAATGACATCAACACCCTATATCAGGTGTGCATAATTATTAGGCAACTTCCTTTCCTTTGGCAAAATGGGTCAAAAGAAGGACTTGACAGGCTCAGAAAAGTCAAAAATAGTGAGATATCTTGCAGAGGGATGCAGCACTCTTAAAATTGCAAAGCTTCTGAAGCGTGATCATCGAACAATCAAGCGTTTCATTCAAAATAGTCAACAGGGTCGCAAGAAGCGTGTGGAAAAACCAAAGCGCAAAATAACTGCCCATGAACTGAGAAAAGTCAAGCGTGCAGCTGCCACGATGCCACTTGCCACCAGTTTGGCCATATTTCAGAGCTGCAACATCACTGGAGTGCCCAAAAGCACAAGGTGTGCAATACTCAGAGACATGGCCAAGGTAAGAAAGGCTGAAAGACGACCACCACTGAACAAGACACACAAGCTGAAACGTCAAGACTGGGCCAAGAAATATCTCAAGACTGATTTTTCTAAGGTTTTATGGACTGATGAAATGAGAGTGAGTCTTGATGGGCCAGATGGATGGGCCCGTGGCTGGATTGGTAAAGGGCAGAGAGCTCCAGTCCGACTCAGACGCCAGCAAGGTGGAGGTGGAGTACTGGTTTGGGCTGGTATCATCAAAGATGAGCTTGTGGGGCCTTTTCGGGTTGAGGATGGAGTCAAGCTCAGCTCCCAGTCCTACTGCCAGTTCCTGGAAGACACCTTCTTCAAGCAGTGGTGCAGGAAGAAGTCTGCAACCCCTGATCCTCAACCTGATAGAACTTGAACAGCGCGTCTGGGAGGTTGTGCTGTTGCCGTAATGCAATGCTGATGGTGAACAGATCAAACACTTATGTAACCATGGAGCTTGAGTGTCCTGCAAAAGAAGTGTAAGGTATTGGTCACCGATTTGTTTTTAGTTTCGTTTTTGAATGTCAGAAATGGTATTTCAGAATGCTGAGATGTTATATTGGTTTGTACTTGTAATAATAAATAATTGAAATGGGTATATATTTGTTTTGTGTTAAGTTGCCTAATAATTATGCACAGTAATAGTCACCTGCACACACAGATATCCCCCTAACATAGCTATAACTAAAAACAAACTAAAAACTACTTCCAAAAATATTCAGCTTTGATATTAATGAGTTTTTTGGGTTCATTGAGAACATGGTTGTTGTTCAATAATAAAATTAATCCTCAAAAATACAACTTGCCTAATAATTCTGCACTCCCTGTATAGTGCCCTGAGGGTGCCCCCACCCTCAGGGTCCCCCTCCCGCCCGGCTCTGGAAGGGGGAAAGGTGTTTAAACTTACCTTTTTCCAGCGCTGGGCGGGGAGCCTCCTCTCCTCCTCTGATCCTCCTCCTGGGCTGAATGCGCACGCGCGGCAAGAGCTGCGCGCGCATTCAGCCCGTCGCATAGGAAAGCATTTACAATGCTTTCCTATGGACGCTTGCGTGCTCTCACTGTGAAAATCACAGTGAGAAGCACGCAAGCGCCTCTAGTGGCTGTCAATGAGACAGCCACTAGAGGATTAGGGGGAAGGCTTAACCCATTCATAAACATAGCAGTTTCTCTGAAACTGCTATGTTTATAAAAAAATGGGTTAACCCTAGAAGGACCTGGCACCCAGACCACTTCATTAAGCTGAAGTGGTCTGGGTGCCTAGAGTGGTCCTTTAAGTCTTTCTTTACTAGAACTCCACAGATACACATTAACAACCAATCAACAAAAAGTAATGCAACCATAAAAGGCCCCTCCTGTTCTTATGGGGGTTTTGAGATTTGTTTTTTACTGTATTTTGTGTTTATGTATATGCCTTTTGTGTATTTATTGGTAGAGATTTAGTGTCCATGGGGTGTTTATTTTATGTGCATCGTCCTTTATGTGGAGTACAGAAGTTATATATCTTGTGCCTAGATATTGTCACTTTTAGTTTGTATGCATAGGTATATAGCGTTTATTTTCCCTCTCTGTCCTCCTCTGCCTGGATGTTACCGGGCTCTATCCCTTTTCTCCCCTCCTTGCCCAATCTGTGGGTACTTTCCCTTGTGGTCATCGCCAGAGACAGCCATTTAGCCGCCTCCCCCGATCGACCTCTCACTGGGTCCGCGGAGAACGTCTCCAGCGGCCCCACGTGGTGGGTCCCAGGGCAGTCGGCATCGCGGCATCGCTGCTGGGATCCACCGCATGTTTTTTCTTTTTCCCTCTTCATTTGATTCCACTTCTTGCATGCTGATATAGTTTCCGGTCCCCATTGGGTATCGCCCCCCTGCCGTGGGGCAGCGGAAAATCTAACTGCTGGCCTCGCGAGCCGCGGGGGAGAGGGGAACTAGGGACAGCCACATGGAGACGGCATTTCACTTCCTCCCTAGGTGCTCTCCCCAGCACGGACTCCCGCTCCGGTCAGGGGTTTGAGGTTTCCTGTGCCGGGGGAGGGAGGGGAGTTCTGTTTCAACTACACTCACCTGTCTAAATATACATGACTTGCTCATGGCCTCCTCACAGATGCATGGAACCTGACATACTAATGCTAGGCTTCAGCCTGAGTGGTGCTGCCTTGTCATGGTGAACAGTTCATATTCCACTACATGGGGATGCCTCTACAACTGTTTTGGTGATTTTTCAATTGCATGCACTGGGGAAACCCCCCCCCCCCCCTCACTTGTTCGCTAGTTAAATTCTAGGTTTGCTCTACCCTGATACTGAATACATTATTCTACAATGCTGTGGACCGTGCATTATTCCGATACATCAAAGGAATTGGCCTGCTTTGGCTGTGCCCCTTGATTGGCCTGCGCTCTCTGTGCCATCGCCATGGGATGAACCCAGTTTGGCTACCCATCTAAGTACCCATATATATAGCGGGCTCTGTATATCTTGCCTTGACCACATATTTGGCGTGCTGCCCCTATTACGCTGCCGGGGCCCCTGAGCATCTCCGTAGTAACATATCAGGGTCCTGACTAGGGCCCTTCCTGGATCCTCTCGGGTCAGGACTCTAAGGGGAATGCACCCACGGCAGACGACTCAATAGAGTCAGGCTTTCATGTGAGATATCAGTCAAGAATGCCAGGGTACTATGGGAAGGGTGAAGACCCTAAACCTCGACCCTAAAGAAGGGCAAGACTCTGGCATTCTGACGGAGGATTCTTGCAGGAGCAAGAACGTGTTGGAGATATCTGTGTGACCCGGCGTAGTCGGGGGTCTTTCTACGCAGGTACCGCCTACCTCTAGGCTGGAGGACGCTGTATTCACTGGCCACTATGGGCAATCCCCGATTTGGCCCACGACCTGTGATGCCCAGACCCCAAACAGATTCCTGAATAATCCTGACACAGCGGGTGTGCTTTCAGATAGGCAAGCCTCTGGTCATGGGGGTAGGGTGGTTTATGGGTGTAATGCCCCAGATCACTGGTTAGGGGATTGGACCCCTTGCCCCCGGAATTTCACGTTTGGCTCCACTTTCGGATCACATACCAGACGGGACCCCGAGTTGGGGGGTTGCAGGCTGCCCCATCTTAGTGCAATTTTGACTTATGGATGTGCTGGGCCATGGCTGGAAGGTTTAGGATTGAGAACGAGGTTACTCACAGGGAGAGTCCCGAACCCCGGTTTCGTATGGGGACTGGGCTGCATGCTCTATTTGCTGGTTGGGCCTTATTACCCGACATCCTGCACCGCTGAGGACCACAGCCCTCGTACACATGGACCCCAGGCTATTGGACTTGAGATAAAGGGAGCAGAACCCTTTGGAGTTCTCTCACGGGACTGCACGTGTTCATAAACCATTAGTTGCATTGGATTTTACACGGTCCTCAAGGAATTTCTGTGGACTGCGGGGTCCATTACTGCTGAGGTGGGCTCAACCTTTCAACCTGGTGAGGTAAGTATCTGGTGCACCATTCATTTGGATGATAATACAACCCTGGATGTTGGGTTGGAGGAATTTAGGGCATTCAGGAACACCAGAGATCTCTGAAG